CTGGGGGATAGGAGAAGGGCCAGCAGCCATCCCGCTGGGCAAAATCCCAGCCTTCTTTCCCCAGGGACATGGGCTTTACCCAAGGTGCTAAGTAGGGAGCAGTGAGTACTCTCTACCCTAGCAAGAGAGGGAGACCAGGGCTGTAGTGAGAATGAGTAAATCTGATAGTTCTTTCTTGGGGCAGTACAGTTGCATACTGCTCTTAAGTAGGGCTAGTGACAGGATGAATATCTACAGCAATTGTATATGTTACCCATAGGGTTTTTTGTGTTGGTGAGGTTTGTGCGATCGCTTGTCAAGAAATGTGCCAAAAGAAGCTGCAGCCTTTTTTTTTTTTTTTTTCCCCTAGCTCTACACTGAATGGGCTCCAGTTCTTAGGGGGTGGACAGGAGCCTTTATAGATAAAGCAAAAGTCTTCAGACTCATTTGGGGCAAACTGGAGTCTTATCTATATCTCGGGAAGAACATCTTTTGCTCTCTTAGAATTAAGCAGCTTAATTCTCTCCTGGAAACTCCATTGAATCAAATTTCAATTTTTTTATAAAGAATTCCTGACCTTCCCAAGTAGCCGTGCTTCTGATTATGTTCACCTCTGTACAACTGTGGTGAAAGGGATTTTGAAATCTCTGTTGCTAGTCAGAGGCTGATAACCTCCTGGCTGAGACTTAAAGCAGACTTAAATGCAGCAAAGCAGCTGTACAGCCTTGAAGACTTCTGCTGTGGCCCTATGAATGTTCTCCTCAGTCAGCATTAGGGACAGGATGATACGAATGGAATGATTTGCTTCACAGTTTGGAGATAAAGGAGATGAAAAGAATTAGTTTAATAGGAAACATATAAAGAAACACTAAACACTTAGCGATGTAGCTTTACACTGGTTTAAAAAGTGGTGGTCAAAGCAAATAAGCATTGTCTAGCACATTGGGATAGAGGAGCAAGAGACAGAGAAAGAAGTGATACTATTCTCCAGTTGTTTTACTTGACTTAAAATGTAAATGCACAGTTCTCAATTTGCACTGAGGAGGACATTTGGAATGACTTTCATTTGCTTTGTGCTGGCTGGTGTAGGCTGGTAAGAGAACTTTCTGTCAGCCTGATGTGAGGATTTAGACCTTAGTCTGACTTGTAGCTTTTTCCCTCTAACACTATGCAAAGTGAGAAACACATTTTTTTAAAGCAGAGACTTTTTAAGTATCATTTTCAAAAGACCAGTAGCACACCAGACTGGATGGCAAACGGGACCTTGAGCATGACACTAGTCTGCCTCATTCACTTTAGGAAAGCAAATTCTTTGTGTGTTTTCCTTTTAAACTTGGGGTTAAAGGCATCCTCCTTCCCTGCACTGCACTTGAACTCTGTAGATTGAAGAAAGAAGGGCATAAGAGGAGGCTATCGCTAGTGAAATAAAGTATGGCTCGGACTTTTTTTGCAGATTATTATCTAGGAAGAGGGTCTCTGCAATGCAAATAGAACTTGTCTGTTGAGTGGTGATTAAAGTGTATAAAAGACATTCAAGAACTCCTCAGGGTTACCTCAGCAAAGCTACATCTCCTTTCTTTTGTTTGCTTTTGGTATAGTCTAGCTCTTGCCATTGTCTCTGTTAAAAGATGCTATCATTCTCTTCCTTTGCCTCATTAGTTCAGATCTGTGCTTCACAAGAAAGAAAATTAATTCACATAGGTAGCAATCATGATATTCGCACTCTTCTCCCCACCTTTGCAGGGAGAGAGCTGTTGGTTCAAAGAGATGTTTTTCACAGCAAAAGTTGTTGTAGAGAAAGAGCAGTTTGCGAAACTGGCATCAATGGAGACAGGAGAGTGCTACAGCTAGGTTCCCCCCTGCCACAGGTACAGATAAAGAAAGGAGATGTGATTCCGGAGATCACTGTGTCTTTGAGGACAGCCTTCAAAGCCTGATGTTCTCCAGGGATTTTTTCGGAAAGGGGGAGGATTTTATAAATTGGAGTGAGTGGCCGTCTCTCAGGGTTTCCCAAAGCATCAAAATCCAACCTCCCAAACACAGACATATAGATACATGAAAGCACACATGCTGAGGTAAACGTGTACACACTTGCCAACTGTCCAAGTAGTCTCTATGTTAGGATTATTTTGTCTACCATGAGTTTTGCCAGCCCACTGCTGCTGACCTGCTTCCCACTGTGTTTCCTGTGCAGGCACAGGAACACGCACAGCCAGCAGCAGCTCCAGGCTTTGCTAGGATTCTTCTGTCCTGTTCATTACTCTTTGTCCATCATCTAGATGGGCAGAGGTTCTGCAGATCATAGAAAAAGCATCACTCTTTCTTCAGTTAGTTGTGTGGATTTGCTTGGGTTTGTGGCCTGCCATTCGGCTCATATAGAGAGATTAATCAGACTTTCAAGGCCTCAAATCTTTACTCTTTCTTTGCGTGACATACAGGATGCTTTTATAACCTCCTACCAGCTTCTGCAGTGCCAAATTCATCCCCACTGTTAAACACCTGCTTTAGGACAAGTCATCATGGAGAAAACATTGAGGGGACTAGGCGTGGAAAATGAGCTCTTCCCTTGTCCCTGAAAAGCAAGATCATAGATCGCAGAAAGGAGGGTATAAGCTAAATATCAAGAAATGTTTAAGAGTGATTGAGGCAGTGAAGTGCTTGAATTGATTGCCTATAGATGCTGTATGATGTGAGATATGTATCAGTAGATATTTTTAAAACAATTTAAATGTCTTTTAGAAATGATTTTAGATATAGTTAATATGCCTTCAGACTAGGAGATAGATTAGGTAAACTCCAAAAAATCCTTTCACTTTATTTATTCCTTTGTTTATTTCAATTACATGAACATGACAGAGCTGTGAAAAGCCATTGCCGTCTTTTCTGTCTCTTGACCTGTAAACAGATCTCATGGAAAATCAATGTGGAAAATTGTTCCCAAACCATTGGGTGATTCGAGTGAATTCCTTCTCCAAAATTTTGAGTAGTAATTGATTATTTAATTTTCAGTGTACCTATTAAGATTGTGTGGGAGTTGGTATGTAGATGTATAAGTGATATAGAGCTTTTCAGGTGAGCTTTATGTATGTATTTGTATATGTGTATGTATTTGTTTAATGCACAGGAAATAATGTTATGAGGACAATCCATGGTGTCGGAGAGATGATGACCCAAATGGTGTTGAGCAGAGGATCTATATTTCCTATCAGTGCCCCTGATGTACAGCCAAGCATCCACCCCAGCAAGCAACCCAGCCCCTCAGAGAGCGAAGATGTGATCGTAATGGATACAAAATTGAAAATCATTGAGATTTTGCAGGTAATAATAATTGATGGTGTATTGCGTGTCAGTCAATTCACATATTTTAGGTGACTCACATAGCGTCAGGCTCTATCACCTGTGTTCTTACTCTGCTGTTCACTGGAAAAATAACTTTGCTGTAAGGAAGATGTTCCTCTGATTGTACGAGATGCAGCTCTGGTCCTTCCATACTGTTGCACCTAAAAGGAAGTAAATGGTGCAGAGACTCTGTCACTATGACTTGAGAGAAGGCAGGACTTGTCCTTTAGTCTACCTCACTAGTGTCTCCAGTCTCCTTCATTTTACATTGGAGTAGCTTATTTGGCTGTAGGATTTGACTCTTTCCTGACAGTAGTTTGATGAAGGGCAGAATGGGGCCTATATCCATCAAAATCATGCAAGGTTAATAGTTTTGGAAGTCTTTTTCCAGACTTCCACTGTTAGATTGAGAACAGTCTGTGGGCTGCTGTGATTTTCTCCCAGCTGAACTGCAAGGTATATGACACTAGCCTGCCTCCAGAGAGAAAATTGTCATTTTGTGCTATTAGTTATTTAAGTGGTACAATTTGTTCTGCAATACTCATGCACTGAAATAATTTTTCACTGTTTTCTATAAATTCTGGTGATCATTGTCACTTCTCAAGGATTCTGTTTATTCTGAATATTTATAAATGATTTAATTTCCCTAATTACTCATCATCTGAAAGACTATCAAGTGGTAGGTTACTCTTAATACCCAAACTTTTGTTCAACAACTGGCTTGTATTGAATCTTTACTGTATAATTGCTTATACAATGATCATTCCGGGATTCCAGCCTCTTGTTGTGCATTCCCTACCTGCTCACAGGAAGGAGAGTCATATTTTTTCTCATCCTTTCCTCTTTCACAGCATGTCTAGGGATTGGAGAAGACTTAATCAGGGGCTACTTAATTTGCGGTTTATTAGTTATGGCTCTGTCACATGATCAAACTGCTGCAGATTAGCAAATTGTCCTGTGCTGAGTGAGCCACAGTAAATGTGCATACATGGGTCTTTAATTCACAAGCAATGAAAAGTAATTGATTTGTTTAATTTTCAGTGAAGAGGATTAATTTAAATCAAGTTACCTGTCGCTATTGTGCTATTATCCTGAAAAGTAAGTAGGCATATTGTAGATTTATTGTATTGTCATTCATAATTAGCAGAGTGGTGATTAACTGTTCTATTTTATAAATATTTCAGTTTATATTATTTGCATTCTCAGTATATCCTCTTACTTTAAGCAAAGGCATTTCTTACGTAGCAATTTCCATTCTGTCATCAACCAGAATTAAAACAGATGTCTTGATAGACTCAGTTGATTGCATGTGAACCTGGCAAATTTATATTTTTAAATATCTTACTTGTACAAATACGGGATAAATTGGTCATGGAACCAAAACAAACCTGCTTTTCTTCCTTTCTCTTAGAAATTTTCAAAGAAAATATGATGATGCTTAAACTGATATTTCATTCTCTTTTAGCTGGCATAATCCTAGTTACCCCAGTCAAATCCTGTTACAATACCCTGGGTCTGGGAAGCCTGTATGATTTTAGTTAGAGATCAAACAAACAAGTTGCCACCATTTGCGAAATCCTGGCCTGTCAGCTGAGTCGTGGTAACTTAACATAAGCCCTTGCATCCCCACTGAATGTGAAATAAGGTGAATTATCTTAAGCCTCTTCCACTGTGCGTTTACAATTAGTGTGGGCCAGGAGTGTGTGCATGGGCAAACCCTGAGACTCAGCTGATGGGCACGCACTTGTTAAAGTGCAAAATGTAATTATGTGCCTGTCCTTGTATTGGTGCAGACTTCTACAGCCAAGTGACTTCCCTCGCTATTCCAAAACGAAAGCTTCAAACTGCAAAGTTTGCATTTGGATTTTTCCTTGGTGACTTTGAGATTTCACAACTCAGGAACAGAGCACTAACAATTTTTTAATAAAATGTAGTGTTGGAAGGGAACTCTGCTACCACTACTGGCTGCGTTAAGGCCAAACTGTTTTTTGCCCCCAGATAGCGATATTGTCCTCTCAACCATGTTCCCCTGCATATCTTAATGAGGCGTTAGAAGTCCAGCTGAAACGCAAAATAATCTGTTTTAGCCTAGGTAGGGATGTCCTAGTCTGGCTTGTAGGCAGCAAGGGCAAAGCAACTTCATTCTGGAGCCCCTGGACAAATGTTAAGAAGGGAAGAAAATCGCAAAATAATTGTCTGGCAAATATTTTGGGTCATGGATGTATTTACTTAAGGTAACCTTGTATATCTGTACATTCCGCTGTGAAAAAAAGTCTCAACTTTATTTACTAAATGGGAGAAAAAAGTCTCATTTTAAACTGCTCTGTTTTAGTTTATTCTCAGTGTTAGACTGGACTATAGAATATCCTACATGCTGTCCATCTATAAGAGAGAGTTTGGGGAAAACAACGAGAGTGTTGATAGCTCTACAACCTCCCCGCCTGACACACCAGGGATTGCCTCAGGTAACTGTTGCTATTGGAGTGCAATGTGCAATAATTCTATGTAAGCTACTGCAGTTACAGGTATTTTAGCAAGCAATAAACTCTGCTGCACCAGAAAGATGCATGTCACTTGAAGCTGAAAAGCTTGTGAAAAAGTGAGGATCTTACGGATTCCTGTAAGAAAGAAATGTGCTGGCCTGTCTTCCTCTGGCTAAAACTTGATTCCATTTTCCTGGGATGACAAATTATTTATTTTTTACAAAAAGAACGTTCCAAAACACTTCAAGGTGGTAAATGTAATGGAGAGTATACCATGTTTGGGAGTGGATGAGAACAGATTTAAGTGGTAGAGGAATGGGGTGGTTTTTCAGGGAATCTTCTTGTTAACTGGGAAGGGCTCAGAGGGCTGCGAGTTGTCCTTGTGATGACCTGCAAATTGGAGGACAGTTGTAATTGGAGGTGCTGTGGAGGTACATTCTCATTTTGCTGTTTTGTGCGGGTCCTAGACTCCAGAAGAACTAGACTCCGGCTCTTCCTCGGTACGAGTAATACACCAATAAATAAGTAAAAAAAAATGGTGTGTTCTGCTTCTTCCCTGCTGACTCTTGCAGATAGGGAATTTGGCCTAGCCAAGGAATGTAGGGTTAGGCTTTTGCTGTATAAAATATACTTTAAAAGGAACAGAGTTCCTTTGTACTGTGCGGACTAACTCATGATCATTAGCTTTTTAAACTTTGTTTTGATTGTTTTCCAGCAATTGTTCCTGACATAGATGAAATTGCGGCTCAGGCTGAAACCATGTTTGCTGGCAGGTATATTCTCTAAAGTTTTACTTCTCTACATGCATCTCTTCTATCACGTTGCTGTTTTTCATGGGCAATCTCTTTTTATTCTCTGCGTACTTTCATGCCCCTTGCTCTTTCTTTGGCTACTTTTTTATTGCATAACCTATACACAGCCAGAAAAGTGACATCTTCCATTGAATACCAGAGATTAGATGTGTGGTACCAGCACCACCAACTGTAGACCTGGTTTTCAAACAAATGAAGAGCCCAGTGGGTGATGGGACTAGAAATGATCACCCTTTTGATCACTTTTGCTTGTATGTTTCTGGTATGTTTCAAAAGGCAAATGGGGCATGTTGTACTTGTATATTGGCCTAAAACACACTAGGCATCTATTTCTCTCTATAATGCCTCACATGGGTGCTTTTAAAGAAAGATTTTTTCTGGTGTACCTAATGGCTGTAGTCACAAACTTCCTGGGCCAGTAAGTTGCTGGGGGCCCTCAGTGTTTCTCATGGATGACATGAACCTTTATCATTACCTCCTGTATTTAAAACTATTATAAAAGTTATGTCGACAGCTTTCTGTTTCGTATGACTCTGCAAGTAACTTTGGACCACTTGCCATGATCCACTGGACCACCAGAGGCCTGTAGATGGCAAGTTATGCTTGCAGAGCTTTGCAGAGCTTTTGCAGTGCTTTCAAATGTGCTGTGAACAAAAAAAAAAGAAAAGAAAAAAACGACTCTGAAAGAATCTACACTGGAGAGTTATTACCAGTATGACTATATTGGTTTAATTTTACTGGTATAATCATACCAGTAAAAATGATTCCCACTGAGAGAAGGCTAAGACTTTAAAGTGTTCCTGGAGTAAGGGAGAAAGATTTGCAAGATGGGTCTTCTGATCCTTCCTGCCTGGTCCCTTATGTGTTCCCTTTTTTCTTTGGCAAGAGCGGTGCCTCCAGCCCTCTCCCTGAACTCCCCTAATGCAAAACAACACACAGCCCTTGGCATCTGCATCTTTAAAACGAGCAGAGCGACTGAATGGTTTCTTGGAAACAGTATTTCTGCTTTGATATGTTAAGTGTAAATCTGCTTTCTGTCATTCCAGATTATAAATATGATTTTAGAAATATGATGCTTTTGGCAATTCTTACTATTTTGAGTTTATTTTTTCGTACAGAAAATGTTAATAGCAGTTGAAAGAGGAAGGAGTAAAAAGGATGAGGCCAAATTAATCTCTGATGAAATGCCATTGACTTCAATTAGCTCGGACTGGGGATGAAGTTGGCACCATTTATCCAAGACATAAATGAATGTTTTTGCAATGTGGATTTTAATCACAGTATTTGACGCATTTCATACATATTAACTTTTACCTGTAGTGTCCATTCTGCTGCGAGATTGCCACAAAAGCGAATAACCGTAGGATTGAAGTCCTTATAAAATACATTAAAATACTGTTCGTAATTTGCATCCCAGTGCGTATTCCACTTGGTTTTAAGAGCTCTATCAAGTGAAGATTGTGTGTACAGGTGTATTTATGTCAAAAGCTTTTTTTTTGCTGTTTTTTTCTCCCCTATTTCTGTTGCAGAAAAGAAAAAAATGCTGTGCAGCTTGATGATGAAGGAGGCAGAACTTTTTTACGGGTCCTCATTCACCTCATCATGCATGACTACCCTCCTCTGCTCTCAGGTGCTTTGCATCTGCTGTTCAAGCACTTCAGCCAGCGAGCAGAAGTCCTGCAAGCATTTAAACAGGTATGGCCATGGCATTATTCCAGGGAAGCGACTGCTGGGATAGCCATTCCCAAGCCTGCTTTTCTTACCTACATTGCCGTCTGCAGGGTGACGATATTATTTCCTTCCAGGTCCAAATTCAGCAGAGGTTTCTTTCTATGCGAACTGCACATATGTGCTGACATATGTTGTAGCTGTGTGCCCAGGAATTATGGTTTTTGGCACTGGCACCATCACTGGCACCGTAGGTCTGTGATGACAGGTGGGACACCCACATGGTAGTGAGACAGGATGCAGTGATCTCCCAGAGATAGAGTCAGCACCTTGTGGTCTGCAGGCAGAGCACCCCTGTCACCAATGAGACCCCCCTGGCTTGAGAGTTACCTCAGTGGACTGTAAAATTGGGTTGGTACCAATGGGTGGTGTTTTCAGTTCTAGTTCTGGTTCAGGTGCTTCTACTTTGTGCTCTGCTCTATGATGTAGTTTTGCCCAAATAGCAGAAAGAGAGCAACAGAGCCAGACTTGTTTTCAGCATCTTTCTGCTTGGTAACATGTGCACGCTCCATGTGTCAGTGGATTAAGATTAGGATTAGGAAATCTCATTTTATGGGGCTAGGGGACAGAGAAGGCTCTGTTACATGTCCCTATAACACATGTTAAGAACATCTGATGCTTATTTTGGGAGTTCACTAGCATGTTGTCTTGTCATTACATAAGAAATGGAGGTTTCTCCTGTTTAAAAGCAGATGCATGATAAAAAGCTGGAAAACATTTAGTATTTCTGTAGAGTTGCATAATAGCCTCCTTCCAGGATATTAAACAGGGGTGATACTAACTAGGTGCATAAATAGCTGCTATTCCCAGCTAAGAAAGGGTTGAGTAGCTTAACATGTTTTTGTAAAGAAAGGAAAAGACTAATTGGCAAATAAAAAAGATTGTAGAGATTTTCCAATATGAATGTCTATGGATAACTGCAATTCAGAAATTGCCTAAAATAACAAGGATTTATCTGGCTGAAAGAAAAGATGATGAAAACTTCATATTATAAAATAGTGAATACTTGTTTGCAAGTACTTTTTGCATTTTTTTAATATTCCTTTCAGTGTTATCTCTGCCATGTGGCACAAATCATTTAAATATGTTTGATTACTTGACGGTGTTTATTGATTTGCCACAAAGATTTGTGTTGATTTGCCACAAAGATTGGCATAAGTATTGCTGTTTGTATAATATCTTCACTAATCTTGGGAGAATGAAGAGCATTACAAAGAGAGGAAAAGTGTAGATCATACAAAATCAGGAATTACAAGTAGGAGGGAGAAGAAAGAACAGACAGTTGGAGCAGTACAAAAAAAAGGCAAAGTAAGAGGCAAACACTCAGATCATGGGAAATTACATGAACCTAGAAAGTCGGTTCTGTGAGCTGTCCAGACAAACTTGTGTAAGATGGACTAGTAGTGATGGAAAAAATATTTGTCAATATTTTATTATTGTGATGTAGGTGATCATTAAAGTTGGTCTCCATTTGACTTCTTTTTGAATGTCCCGATTCCCTGTTGTAAATGTCCCTTTTTTCATTTGAAGTACACTGTGCTGGTAGGATGAGCTCTGCTTGTGCTGAGAGTGTTTGCAGTCATTTGAAGAAGGAGTCTAAATGTTGTGAATATTACACTTATCCAGCCTTGGGTAACCACAGCCTTTAGTTCTGCAAAGGTGAATGGAGACTAAAAACACTGTGTGTGCCACGTTAAACAGGAAGGTGACATAAAGCATCTGCAGAGAGGGACTTGGAAGGGAAACTGTCAAGCAAATTTCCCAGGCATAACTGCCGGAGCTACCATTGAAATAACTTTCCAGTGTGCTGTATTTCCAGGTTCAGTTGCTGGTGTCTAATCAAGATGTGGATAACTACAAGCAAATCAAGGCTGATCTTGATCAGCTACGTCTAACGGTAGAAAAATCGGAGCTGTGGGTTGAGAAGAGCAGCAGTTATGAGAGCGGAGAGGCAGGCGACAATCAGACCAAAGGGGGAGAAGAACCAATAGAGGTGGGTTTCAAGTCTTTTGCTCCTTGGATTGTTTTATGTGTAAGTAAGTAAATTCATTAGGCTACACATAAGTATTTCTATGTACTTCAGTGAACAACAGAAAATTTGTGATATGGTTAATCAAAGTGCCACGCAGAGAATTTGCAGTATTCTGGCCAAGGTTTAGGATTAAACATGAGAGAAGATAAAATGCATTTTGAAGATATGTTCAGTATTATCTTACGCTATCTTGTAACTGTATTCTTGTGTCAAAGTTGCCTCCTTTTTGGTCCAGCAAGGCAGTCTCAGTGTGTGTCGCCATGGAGGTAATCTAGGGATGATGCACTGGCAGTTATATTGTCTGGTGGGAAGAGTGGTTGAGCAGGCAGCATTCGTTCCTGCAACCAGAGGAAAGAAGCACCATCAAATCCATATTTTAAACATTGTGAGTAAGCCTGCTTTCCTCAGAACACAAGACTGATTAAGAACACTGAGGTTTTGAAAGCTAAACAACCTTTTTTTTTGTGTGTGTGTGTGACCTTTGAATCTGAAACCATGAAAATCTGAATTTTTTGTTAATAACTTTATTTTTCATTGAAGGCTAAGGTCCCTAACTCCTGTGCGAATATTTAAGAAAATGCCAAGTATTTCAAGAGTTGCTATGGGTAAGGTTAATAGGCATAATAGTAGATAAAGCAGACTTTCATTACAGTATTTATTCCTACTTTTCCCTTCTGAGCAGTGGAAGAGGGGAGAGGTCTAGAACTGCAATTTCTGGTGCAGGACTTTCCATGTTCCCTTTTGTGGTAGGGAGTTTGCAAGAAAATGAGCAAGGAAGCCATCAGGAAAATTTTGGTTAGGAAGCAAATTGGAGATTTTGCAGGGCTGTGAACCCTGTGTATGGTGGAGAAGCAGGAGCCACTGAGAAGACGCAGCGTCTTCGCGGATATCTGTGAGATACAGTTGGCTTTTCAGATGGGAAAGCAGCTTCTTTGTGGCTTCATAAGAGGGAAAATCCAGCACTTCAAGGAGGAACCCTGATTGCTCGGGACAGTATGGGCTCTGTTTGTTCTCTGATATAACTTAGCTGAATTGAATGGTATGAAAGCTAGGAAGAATCTGTACTTGTGAGTTTATGTCGGAATTCCTCCTAGTATAAAAAATGGCCCTTTCTGTTTTCAGTGAATGAAAAGGTAGTGGGAAGGCAAGCTACAGAATCACTGCAGGACATGACAAGGTTTTCGGGTAGCATGCATTTTTGAAGTGCATTTTGAAGTCCCTTTTATTCCTACAAATAGCTCTGATGGCAAAGAAACTGCAGGAAAGGGGGGAAACAGTGTGCTTGAAACCAAAGCATCTCTAAATGGAATTTTTTCCCATGAGGCATCACAGTGGGTCTCTATGGCTTAACAGACTTCAGTAGATACACAATATTATCTCTGACAGATCTGCTAGAGCATTGTATTGGAACAGTAATGCCTAATCTGGATCTGGCTAGATCATCTGCTGGTAATTCCAGCAAAGCTGCACCAGTTTGCGCTAGCTTACAGTTTGAAAATTATTTTTCCCCTATTAAATTAGTCTCTGACATGCAGGAAATGTTTTTATCAAGAAGAAGCTTTTTTGTAGCAAATACTCTTTTTGAGATCTTAAAGAGAACTTGAGAGGTAAGGTGCTAGCCATAATCAGCAATAGGGGAAGCAGGTGGCCAGCTTCAAGAAGATAAATACCCCTGTGGGATCTCTGCTTCCTTGGAATGAGTATTCAGTACTGAGCTGGATGAATCCCTAGATCTTTAGGGAGTATGTTGCATTTGTTTGCACTTTATTTATCCCAAACAACATAAAAGTGTGTTCAAGGACCTAAACTGCATTCCAGATCAGTCTTAGGTTAACCCCAAGTTTTTCTGCATGCTGAAGCACATTGTAGGATTTGCTTAAGGGTTTTAAAAAATTATGTATATTTCTTTGCCTTCAGACAAAGCCTTTTGGGTCATTATTTTCAAGCTTCTTTTTTTCATTTTTTTTCACGCTTTTTTTTCTTTTTTTTTTCCACAAGATGGGGGTCTAGAAACTGAATTTATGGAAGAAATACCAGATTCTTCAAAGCAGAATATCAAGAGTTCTCCACAGCAAAGTGACAAATCTTTACAAGCTTGTAGGATCATCCTGAGAAGAACTGCAAATGACAATTATAGGAAAGAATCTTTGGAGTTAGGTCAGACATGGGCTAGACACCTTGTGAGCAATAGGAAGAAATGCTAAAATTGTTCTCACATAACTGAGCCTTGAGTGAGAAAGGAGAGCTGCCTGTAGATAGAGACTCTTTGGGTCTCTGTAAGTACCCTGGCCTGTGGAAAGCGTGCTTGTGTCATGGGGAATGGATGGGGCGTGCAGCACCAGAAACACAGCTCTGAGAAGTAGAAATTCCAAGTCTCACTATAATGGCTTGGAGGTGACACTGCAATACAAGCAGGAGTGCTGGTCTAAGCACCTGGTGTTCACACAGTTACAGAATGATTAAGGTTGGAAGGGATCTTTGTAGATGGAAACAAAGGAGCCTAAAACAGGCAGCATGATACCCTGGTTGCTTGTTGAGTCTCTGAAGAAAGGAAATAGTAATTTTCAGAAAATGGAGCTATCGTACAGCGGGGAGAGCTGCTCAGAAGAGAAACGTGCTCAAAGGCAGCTCGGTGGCTTCCCGTGCCCTGTGGGAAAGCGTGACAGCGAATGTCTATCACAGGGCGTAACAAGGCAAGATATGCGACGGAGTGTCCCTCGTATCCCAGTGGCACAATTGTGTATACATAGCTACAGCCCTGCAATACTCTTACGGGTTCAATAAACAGGTTTTTATTTTGTTGAGAGAAAGGCTAGATTCCTCAGCTTAGCGCTGATCAGCACTTCAAGGTAAGACATAGAGTTCACATGGGTTATAAAGCTGCTTTGATTGAGGAAGAATGCTGGTAAAAGTAACAGGTAAATTAATCTTGGTTAACCCACGGTCCCAGAGCAGCAGAGAGTGTTTAATTTTAGCAAAGAGGCTGAAATATCTTCCGAAGTATTGATTCATACAACTAGAGAGAAGTTAGCATGCACACTAACAAAGCCAAACAAATAAAAATCCACTGTTGTTGCATGCATCAACACAGCCATGCTGAACAGCAGTGCTGATGCTGTTATAAACAACTTCCATGGCCAAGTGGTGCAGCTGTTCCTGCCCCTCTGGAAATGCAGACCAGATGGAATTTATGGGACTCCTAATCTTCACCATCAGCTAAGCAAGTTCAGAGAGAGATCTCAAGTGGTGTAAGCATTCAGATGGGCTTGCACGTGTGTGCTGTAGCATAATTTTCATAACTAAGGCAGGTGGAAGTTTGAGGACAGAAATAAACCCAGTGACCTACCTGTTCGGTTCTTTTTTATGCTGCATATTAGTCTGCATCCTCGTGCTTATAACGCAGAGGAGTTTCGAGTTCTCCTGCAGTTTTTCTTTCACATGTGTAATGATTTCAACATCAAAAGTTCTATCTTAGAAGTCTTTGCCCTTCCAGACAAAAAAGGCTAACAATAGCTGGCAGCATAGAAATCACTGCCCTTATTTTGCCAGTATATTAAGTGGGATATTTGTGTTGATGATAACATTTTTCTTTTTTTTTTTCTTTTTTTTTGTTTGTTTGGGATGTGCATGGAGAGTTGGAAGATGGTAGAGGCAGTTATTTGCTGACCTGACTCTGTTTATTTATCATATCCAGCTGGGGCTTTCTATGAGCCAAGACGCAGAGCATACAGTATTGTAACTGGATGTCGCAGTTTAGCATAAGCATCTTCAATTTATATTTTATGTTCTTTTCTCTCGTTATCCGGAGGTAACTGAAAAGTCTTTTTTCTGGAAGGAGTATCTTGAACTTCCGTATGCTACTTGTTCATGTACTGTTGAAAGGAACGCCTCCCTACTTATCTCGACTGCAGAGGTTGTCTTCAACACTTTCTTCACTTTTTTTATGTTAACATAAACTGACTCTGTAGTTTTTCCAACTGTGTTAGAGATGTTTGGAACAGGGGTTGACTATTGAAATATTCATATGGCTCCCATTCCCATATTATCTAACTTTCTTGGAATGCCTGGTCTTACTCTTTTTTTACTAGGATCAGTGGCATGAAGACATGGAATAACTCTCTCAAGTCATGTCAGAAATTTGAAGCAGGGGATGGATTTGAATGTGAATCTTTTGAATCATTGGACAGTGACTAGTGGATGGTTATTGCTTTAATTTTTCTTTATTATCTGTTATTTACCTGTTCCCTATGAACTGTTGTAACGCTGCTTCTTCACTTGCTGTTAATGATTATTTTCTTTTGAGGAAATTGCAGTAAAATCTTGTTGTATGTTCTTTGTTACAGGAGTCAAATATTCTGAGTCCAATACAGGATGGGACCAAAAAACCACAGATAGACAGCAATAAAAGCAATAACTACAAGATTGTGAAGGAGGTTGGTATATACTTTGGGAAACTTGCTTGACGTGCTGGTGTAATAAGTAGACTTAGTTGTTATTTTGACACGTGGTATTTTTGCTCATGTTTTTGTCCAATATGCCTGCTGCTTTACTTTTCCACTTGCCTATTTATTTATTTATTTATAGATTTTGATTCGACTCAGCAAACTCTGTGTTCAGAATAAGAAGTGTCGGAATCAACAGCAACGGTTGCTGAAAAACATGGGCGCCCACTTGGTGGTCTTGGACCTTCTGCAGATACCCTACGAAAAGGTTGTTCTGATAATTTCTGCTGTAAAGGACATGAAGTCACTAAAGGAAATGCCCCCAACACAACAATGGCCCAAGAAATAGAGGGAAAAAAAGACTTCCGCTGAATTCACTGAACTATGACACATGATATGATGTCATTTTCTAGCTTTCTACCAAGTTTAAATGTGGCTGTTGTTTGCTTAGAGGATTTCACTAAGCACTTATTGTTTCCTCAGGTGCCCAGATGTCACTGTGTTAGCATCCCATTTCTGAACACAAACCTGAGCTTGGCAGTCACTGTGCAAGAGAAAATACCAATTTAATGAACTCCTGGCAGGGTGTCTGAATTCCACCGTTGGGTGCTGATGTGAATGCTATTGTAAATACATAAGATGGACAATTAAATTATTCAAGAACCCAGCCTGCAATCTTTTCAATGTCTCTGTGGTTGCAGGGCTCTTGCTACCTCCATTTGCAGGCTTCTCAGAAAATGACAACAATTTTGTCCTGATTTACTGACAACAAGCAAACAAAAGATCCAGATATTCCCTCTAGATTTTATTTGAAGTTTGGAAGGCGATAAAACCCTTTCTAGGCTAAGTTTTCCAGAGTGCTATGCCCTAATGTTTTCATATGGACACAGGGTTCAGCTCTCTTTGGTAAGATGCATTAATGCATGCTCATATATATGGTTCAACACGTCATAGTTAAAGATTTATGCAAGAGAGATACAAAATAGGGGTGAAACTAGACATTTTTTTTTGTGGGAGTATGTGCATGAGCATATATATCTAACTATATAAATTCCACAGTTTTTCAAAAGCTCAAAGCCAGTGCAGGCTGGGAGGTATTTAGTGCTTTTGAAACCAAGACATTGATCAGCTTTTGAACTGGGAAATGACAAACACAGGAGGAAATCTTACCTTGAATTTAGTATCTCTAATATATTGCAATTCTTACATTGTTTTTAGTAATAGAACTAGAATACCTCCTGTTCCCCTACAAATCAATGAACCAGTGGTAACTACAGGCTGATTAATAACACCTCAGGCCAGGAAAGTGGAAACTTCAGTGTGCTGGGTCATTGCCAGTGATTCCCTGTGCTCAAGGGGGTTCTGTGTAGTCGCTCATGGAGTCTGGGGGCAACTGGGACAGTTAATGCTTGTCGGAGGGAGAATTCCTGCCACATGAAGGACCAAGGGAATCAGAGTGTTCCTAGCTGAGTTCATGTTGTGCAGGATTAACAGATTGGTTTAGGTATGTTCAGCTGATGTTTTTTCTTTTCGTTCCGCAGAGTGATGAGAAGATGAATGAAGTTATGAATCTAGCCCATACTTTTCTTCAGAATTTCTGTCGAGGAAATCCTCAAAATCAAGTGCTTCTCCACAAAAATCTAAATTTATTCTTAACTCCAGGAGTAAGTATTTCATTCTAAGGTTAATATTACAAATGAAAGTAAATTTGAGTTCAATGGCAAATGATAATCATAGAATCATAGAATCATAGAATCATAGAATGCATGCTAACTAAATAACTACAGTAAATTATACTTTCTCTGCCTTCTCTCTTTTTTTCTTTTCTCCCTTACCATGACTCTTTATTTCATGTCTTTTAATGTTCCATTTTGAAAATGTAAGGTAGTATTACCTATCGAGTTCATTGGAAATATCTGTGTCATGTCATTATGGCATGTTTGGCTTGATTCTAATCTCATTCATCCTCACTCACTCACATCTGGACTATATGCTGGGGAGAAGATGCTGTGAATATACTGATGTGAACCTTGTGTGAGAACAGAATCAGACCCATACGTTTTTGCAGATAAGGTTTTTACTTGCTTCAACTAATCTAAACTTTGATCTTTTGTTAAATCACTGTCTTTGTTAAGGCCCTTTGCTACAATCCCCCTGCTTTTGATTTATTTCGTTAAAATTAAAGTATGTGTATGTCTGTTGATATACCTAACATTTTCTGACACATGTAGTGGAAGAGCCACTGTTTTGCTATTGAGCAAAACACTCTTTTATTAGAAATAGGATAAGTATTGTGAGTATAGACTCATCCTGAGCACATTATTCCAGGAATAATTTTTTCTCCTTTTTTTTTTTTTAAATTCCTACTGGGAAAAAAGATGTGCCATAAGAGAGCAATACAGATTATATATATGCAGTAATTTATCTGCTGGAAATTCCTGTGTCTGTTGACCATAGAGGGAGCCAGAGGTAGCTAAACATCTAATCTGGTTGCCTCAGTGAGATGTTGGACGGTGGGTGGGATGATGAACGTGGCCCTGATTCTCTTGTATCCCAAAGTTCATCTAGAGTGCTTGAGTAGGTCTGTGTTTTGACCTTCCACAGGTGCATGGGTTTTGTTTACGCTTACTTTAAGAGCATTTTATACTCTTAGGGAAGCGTAGAGTAATCCTGTTGTAAATGAAAGAGATCCATAAGGTTACTAGCCACTCACTGGACTGATGCGTGTAGGGCTTTTGCAATCTCCCTTCACCAATGTGCCTTTCCCTAGTCTAGAGGCCTGTGAACTCCTTGGTCTCCAAACAGATCTGCCATTCTTACGAGGCTCTTTGGATCTGTATCTGTGTAGCTCCTGGAAGCTGAAACCATGCGCCACATCTTCATGAATAATTACCTTCTGTGCAATGAAATCAGTGAGAGGGTGGTGCAGCACTTCGTGCACTGCATTGAGACCCATGGCCGTCACGTGGAATACCTGCGGTTCCTGCAGACCATCGTAAAAGCCGATGGCAAATACGTGAAGAAATGCCAGGACATGGTAATGACCGAGGTAGGCTGATGGCTCATCTGTTAATCGTTCATGTGGTCTCTTTTTAGCACATACTAATATTTTGAGGTTGCTTTCTTCTGCTGTTAATACCAGCGGGACGCACAGCTTTAGAATTTTAAATGGTATTGCAAATAATGAATATTTTAGCAGACTTTTGGGGAGTTTAATCTAATTTTGTGAGGCCATCTGTGTAACTACTAGAAAGAAAACATGAGTCTTATCATGGTGATACAGAGATGTCTATTTCTAGAAAATGTAATGTGGAAATCTCTTGAGTTCTTTACACAAACCTTCACTTTTCTGTACTGTATCTTAGGATGGCATTTACACACCAAATTTCCCATACTGTGAAAACATGCTGCATCTTTTACCATAAAATAGACTCTTACCTCTGTGGATTTGTCTAAACAGGGTAAAACCATTTCTTTCTGAGGAAGAACAGAACAATTTTAGGCGCTTGTTTCTGCTTTTGTTTCTTCTGCTGTGATCCTTGAGCATTTCTGCTCAAGTCAGTAGGGCTACTCCAGCGTTAGGTAGTTGCTTTCAGCGTCTGGTCAGGTAAATTGAGATGAGTGGTTTGTGGATAAATTTTTATGTCATTGAAGTCACTAGGAAAATTCCTATTGCTTTCTCTGCAAACTGGATTTGCTATGTAGAGTGCGTGGTACATGAAGTCCTCACCCTGCACGTGGTCATGCACTTAACTGTAATTATGCTAACATTAGTTCACTGAGAGTAATAGGTGGATAAAATTGAGTATGGTGAAAAGTCTAGGTGGGTTTAGAATCTACTTCCATTCATTTTTAAAGTGCAATCTTTTATTTTGGAAAGGCAGCTTCAGAAAGAGAACAGAGAGAAAGCTCTAGATGTGGTGCAGACAGAACTAAAACTCTCTGAAATTTCTTATCACAGCAATGAAGAGTTTCTTAACTTCTAATTAAGAAAATAAAACTTCAGCCTACATGGATAACCTTTAATGAAATCCATGTCAACCTTTTCAGTTTGACTGATGTGCTTTAGCATGTAATATCAAACACAAGTCCTTAATTTACATAATTCAAAGAATTCTTTTGCATCACTGGTTTTATATTTTCCTCCTTCAACCTCAGCTCCGTGTAGGTTTTTACATTCTCATCAAATACAATTTTCGGATTTTCCTCAACTTAAATACATTTTACTAGTGATCTTTGATAGTATAAAGATAAATTTGCTGTATCACATTTTCAATTGGATTGAATGATGAAAATATAAATCAACGTAGATGTGATGTTTACATTATGAGTCCAGCAGGAACTTGCAAGAAAGAAGAGGAACTTCTCTTTTCAGGAAAGAGGGTAAGAAGGTGACCTGTTGAAAAGCTGTAGGAAATTATAGCTAAGCAAATATCATTTGTAAGGAAAGAACAGTAGTAGTGAAGTTTGAATGGCAGTCTGATACGAAGGAAACAGTTGGAAGTTGGCCAACAGTGACTCAACAGCTGGAATTCAAGATGGAATTGGAGCAATTTCTCAGTAGACAGCTGAGATTTAGTTTGTCACCTCGGGCGAGGGGTGTGATTTCTGTGCCTCCAGGTGGGGCATGGAAACAGCTCCGCACAAAGCAAGATAGAGTGCGAGTGCACAGCATGCTTGTTACTGCTCCTGTATGGTCTTTTACCTGTTTGGTGTAGCTTATGCCAGTATGAGGTAAACTAGTTGCATTTACATATGCTAGATGTGCACACAGAGCATTTTGAAAGAGCACTTTCATAAGATATGTTGAACATTCCCACTCTGGCTTATTTGGCAGAACTTGTTCCCATATCCTTAGTCCTCACATCTGTAGAGAACTAGTAATGATGTTTACCTATCTTAGAGGTTTCTTAAGGCACTTTATCTTGTTACAAGAGTGCTTTGCAGTTTCTGGAAGAACAGTGCCTGCAGGTGCAAACATTGTTACAAAAGAGAAAGCAGAATTTACTTTTGAACCAGACCAATGTGGCAGCAGAGTTTTCTATTATCTGTGGTATAACAGAGTGTCTACAGCTGATCTAACTCACCTGTAATATATGTGCATAAAAGTTAACTTATTTTAAATACACTTTATTGGAAGAAAATGCTACTTACTTTCTCTTTTCCTAGCACTCTGCTTGTGGACTTCAATGAAAACTTTGTCAAATATTGGTACTTCTCTTCCTTTTCTGCTTTTATTGACTGTTTTTCCTCTGCTGGGCCCATGTTTGGATTCCTTTCACAAATCACGTTCAGAGTAGGACACTGGAAGAAAGGGATGCCATTTTCTTCTTTCCCCATCTTCATCATGATTTCTTTGCTCCCCTTTGCCCTTTCTGTGCCCATGCAACGTTGTCAGCTGCAATTTGAGGTTCCTTCCCATGCAGAGTAGCAAATGGCATCATTTAACAAGTTCAGTCTCCTGGTATTTCTTCCTTGTGCACCAGCGATAGGAACGTGAAAGGACAAGGGGTGAGTTTGGCTTGCCCTTTTATCAAGCCATACCAGAATCGACTATGTCTGAATTTGACATGAGATTATTGCTACCCTTGTGCAAATGGAAAATAGCTAGGGGAATGTAGTGAAAAACTTACTGGACAGGGTTTGGTGCAGTTTTTTTATTATTTTTTTATTTGAAATGTTTAGGAAAAAAAAATCCATATGCCAATATTTAAAAATGAAACAGGTCAGTTTTTCAACATTCTGCTTACTTATATTTCCTTATTTTCCTTTGTGCCAATGCAACAAAATTCTTGTGTTTGGGAGCCCACACAATTGGTCCACCCCCTACACCAGTTCTTGTATCTTTAAATACTTTTCTCCATTCTGTGAATTGCTTGAAAAATATCAATTTTTGGAAAAGTCAAAATGCAAACTTTTTAAAAGACTAAGGGGGAAAAAAAAGAAATAAGAATAAGAAGGAATAAGAAGTGTGGGAAAGGCTGAATTCATAATTCACAGTAAAAGAAGAATGAAATGGGAAAAAAACACAATCAGAAAACTTGTATTTTTGCAATTTGGAATGTTGAAATTCTGGAAAATATTACAAAATTATTTTGTGAGTTTGTATACTACTCTGTTTACAAACTCCGAGACTACTGCTACTACTCTCCTCTCTCTGGAGGAGACTAATTTTCATCTCTGCTCTTACTGCTTTCCCAATTCTTAACAGCTTCCCCAACCTTAATTTCTGCCTTTGAATTCAGTATGCCAAAATTTCATGTCACACTTGGATGTCAAATGCAGTACTCACAAAATATGTAGGGTCACTGCTCTGCCAAGAAGTGGTGTTCTGTACAAGACAGGGTTTATGGGAATTTTCACCTCTACTGAGAGTACTTTGTGCTTAAAATGAGAGATGGAGAGAAGAAAGGGATACTGCTGTGTCCCAGCTGCCCCCAAGCTCGCAGAGCGCTGGCAGCTTTTGGTGTGCAGGTTCAAATCAGTGCTATAATAAAACCTTACTCTGAGCTCTGCTAAAATAAGGCCACCCACATCCATTTGGCTCTGGATCATATGAGATGAGCAATGCACTTGAAGGATTCGAATTCAAGTATTTATCATGTACACCAGTATTCGTTAAAAGGTAGTGCTGGTGTGACATTTGCAGTGTCAAGAGCCACCTGCCAAGTCTGTGTAGGTTAGGGAGGATCATCCCTTGTTTCAGATGCCAAACAGGGGCACAGAGACATTGGTTTAACACTGGATGAGCCACACACTACGTGTGAGCTAGTACATGGGATTTAATCTCTCTGTAGCTCAAGTTCCTATCTATAAAATAGGGATAATATCCTTTCTTCTTTATTTTTTGCAGCGGGATTGCGTCACCATAGGAGGTGAGGATAATTAATTAACATTGAACAAACGTTGAGTCAGTAGGAATTATGAGGATGTGACACCTTCTTAAGTAAACACAGAACTACACAGAAATTAAGCTTTCTCTTGTATCAGTTGGGGGACCTTGCTGAGCTATTCCAGATTTGCACCTCTGTACAGGTGCAAAAGCTTGGATGTTATTTTGACACGTGCAGTTGGTAAACTGCATCAGGCTAATGTTTTTTTCTTGTGCTCCTTCTATAGCTAGAGGAGAGTCTTTGCATACTTAGAGGTAGAAAAAAATAATTAAGAAAATGACCGCTTTGCAGTGTGCTTGAGCAACTGAAAAAAGACCTTGTGGCATCTTTTTCAGCTGATTAATGGTGGTGAAGATGTGCTGATATTCTACAACGACAGAGCATCCTTTCCCGTCCTGCTCCAAATGATGTGCTCGGAGCGGGATCGAGCGGACGAGAGCGGCCCCTTGGCCTATCACGTTACGCTCGTGGAGCTGCTGGCGGCTTGCACCGAGGGCAAGAACGTGTACACGGAGATCAAGTGCAACTCCCTCCTGCCGCTCGATGACATCGTGAGAGTGGTGACCCACGATGACTGCATCCCCGAGGTGAGACGCACCGCATGGCGCAGAGCACACTCATAATTATTAGCGTTTATTAACAGCAGAACATTCTCTGGCTTTGTAAAATTCAGACTGAAAGATTTACATCTTTCTATAGTCTCTGCATGAGCAGATTCAGGCCCTGTGTATTGAGCAGCGGAATTTTTGCAGGCTTTGGGTGGAAGAACGTAGCTCTGATGAAGAATGTGCCAACAGAATTGGGTCTTCTGGCAGTAAATAATCTTTCCATGACAAGGGGAAGTGTCCCTGTGGTCAGCTGATACTTTTGATAGAAACAAATGCTTGCTGTGTTCAAAAGTTCCTTCCCAAATTCATGTCGACGACTGCTAATGAAATAGTCCAAACAAATGAAACCTTAAAGTTTATAACTATATATATGAGTTTTCTCCTGGCTTCATTAAATGTATGTGACTATTTCCTCTCCCTTGATTATTAACGGACATTTTCAGTGTGTGTGCATATATTTAATATTTAAATTCAGGCACTGACTATCTGTTTTTATGATGGTGCCGATTTATGGGGCAGGAGAACAGTGCCGATGCAGCCTCCTGTTAAGCTCCACACTGCTGCAGCCCTGGTGCTGCACAACCTTTCCTCTTCCATTCAGGAGTGAATTGGGTTCACCCTTGATTTAAGCACCACATTAGGATTTTAGATGATGCCCCATGGACCCAGCTCTGCTAAAGGCCTCAGCTGTGATATTTGGCAAGCTGATCATAAAGCATCAACCCACAAGAATCAATTGACAAATCCACGAGTGTCCTGCATTCTGGCAGTTCTGGACTTTGAAGCCATACCGTTGTAATTTTAATGTCACTTTATGTGTAGACTTATGATTGGTTTAGTTGTGGGTTTTTTTGCTGCTCAAGTAAGAATGTTTGCAAAACTGTTTCTCCACATGTGTTTTTTTTCAGGAAGTACATAATGTATTTGTTGCACTGATTATTCGTTAAGTCTTCAGAACTGAATGTGTGCATTATTGTTGCGTCAGTATTTCTTCTTATTTGAAGAATGATCTTTATTGTTCAGTGTTTTTGCAGATTGAAAAAGATTGTTAATGATTTTTGTTTTCCCATTCTCACATTGTTCATATGTTTGCTGTTCCTGCAGGTGAAAATTGCCTATGTTAATTTTGTTAACCACTGTTATGTAGACACTGAAGTGGAAATGAAAGAAATCTATGCCAGTAACCATATTTGGAAATTATTTGAGAACTTCCTTGTTGATATGGCAAGGGTAAGTTTAATGAGACATTAAATACTGTGTACCTATGGGTGGCAACTGAACTTGCAATAAATTTTCTTGTGAGCTAAGTATGGTTAATAAAATATATAGAATAAAAATATATTTTATTTACTATTTTTTCAAAATTGTCCATAAAATAAGTTTTTTAAATGGGTCATCATTTCTGCTATGCTTTGTTTTCCCTATTTAACCAAATTACTAGCAATCTTCTCTTTCTAAAAGATCGTCTCAGGACCCTTGTCCTCCTATCAGAAAAGGATATAAACTGGGGTGCATGTAGAAGGTTGAGATTGTATTTCTTCTGGTACCATGTATATCATGTAATTATGGTGGTAATTTAAAGAAAAAGAAATCTGCATCTCTCCTTGCTTTTCCCTATTAGTAAAGCAAGGGTCAGGAATCAATAAATTCTTCAGCTCATGTTCCTACTTTAATCTTACCTTGTCCAGGTTTTGATTCTTGTCTTTCCATCTTACTGCTGACGCAAAAGGCACAGAGCTGTGGTTGTTCAGCTATCTTTACTAATTCTTTATACTTTGTTGAATTAAATTTCAAGGCATACCTCAAATTATCTTGCATTTACCAGTACTTGGGAGGCAATAAAAGAGGGGACTCTCCTAACTTCAGGAAGGTTAAAATACAGTAACCAGAACTACAAGGGGAAAGCAGCCCAAGACAGCTAGTACAGCTTACACTGCATATCCCTTTTCCAGCAGGTGATATTTTTCATAAGAGTGTACTGTTAATCCTCGCTAATAGAGCTGATTTTTCTGTTCAAAAATTAGGAGCATGGATTTTTAGTGCTGGTGGCCTGTGTTCTGGATATATTGCAGAGCATGGTTGTAGTGCGTGCCTGGCCTTGCCCAATCTGTGGTCCATTACTCTTTTTAATCCTTAAATTCTCACTCC